CGCGGGTCTAGTTCCAGGACCGCGCCGGGGCTAACGATGGGTTGCAGAACTTCTCCTTGGCTTCCTCTGGTCGTTGGCGGTAAGCAGACGGAGCCTTTGGAGTTTTTCCTGCCGGTGTCAATGGCAAAAGTTAGTTAGCCCGGCAGTTGTTGGTGGTTCTGGGCTGGATCCAAGTGTCGCCATTTTGTCTTTAACACGCGGTTTTTAATGAGTCTTAATTAGGTGCCGGCACAGGGAAGGGGTGTTAACAGTGTGTGATTCTGAGTTCCGTTATTTTCTCACTCTGGCACTTTTTATCTTTTCAGTCAGATAGCAATCTTTTGTTGGGGTTAGGTGCGGTGACTTTGTTCTAACTTCGAGATTTGTGCCTAAACTTGCTAGGAAATCTAAATGAGAAAAGGGCTTGGTCTTTACTTGGTGCATCTGGCTGATGACCTTGAATGAATAGGAAGTCTTTTATACCCTTCCCTGCGGGGGAGCGAGAAGGGTGATAAGTAACGGGATGTTTAAAAGATAACAGCTCGATACAATAGCCGGGTGTGGTGGCTCTTGTCTGTTCATTGCTGCGCTCTAAAGGTTGCAACCTTGTAACAGAAAAGTTGCCTTTTCAAATGTTGAATGTTCTTTGACTAAAAGCGGCCAGAGTAGACTAAGAAGTTCGGTAAATTAGGCCGGCCCTGTTAACCCGGTTAATGAAAATTGCTCTGGCCTTTTAACTAAAAGTATTTCAACTGATTTTTCTACTCTTCTTGAGGTTTATTGGTGTCTTTAGTTACTAAAGAATAAAGATTTTTTATAAAACATGAGCCACAATTAAACTGTTCACTAAACTTAGGGAACTTTCTCCAGAGAGATAATATTATTATTTTTCAGCAGATTCCTATCGGTTGGAAGAAAAAATGGTTGAAGCAGATAGACCAGGAAAGCTCTTTATTGGTGGGCTCAATACAGAGACAAATGAGAAAGCGCTTGAGGCAGTATTTGGCAAATATGGACGAATAGTGGAAGGTGAGTTATCTAAAATTATGTGCTGTATTAGTATAATGAAAAGACAAGCTGTGATGAATTTGAATCCACTGATCATCTGACATGATAATGTATTTTGTCCTCTAAGAAGTTCTGAGCTTGCTTTTGGCAAATGTGCTCTGGTTCTGGTTATTTTTGTTTGCACGAAAGTAACCGCCTCCCCTCCCCCAAACTGTTTTAGTGCTTTTGATGAAGGACCGAGAAACTAACAAGTCAAGAGGATTTGCTTTTGTCACTTTCGAAAGCCCAGCAGATGCAAAGGATGCTGCCCGAGACATGAATGGAAAGGTATGATTATCTGTTTAGTAAAAAGGGGTTTCCTGGTGACAATAAGAACGTGTAAGTGTTAGGGTCTAGAACAGCTCTGGAACTTTTATTTTGTATATGTATATCCAGAAACTTTTGATCACAGTCATTAGTAGTACTATCCTGACTTTTATTTTATTTTATTGGCTGTTTTTAGTAAGGGGGGTCTCTATTTGGTCTTGACTATATAGATCAGGCTGACCTCAAACTCGGAGATCCTCCTGCTTCTGCCTCCCAAGTGCTAGAATAAAAGACCACAGCAAGTCTCTTGTGAATTTTATTGTGATTCCACAACCAAACTTTGTAGCTACTGTTAAGGGTTATATGTCTAACAAGAGATACTTCAGAGCAGTATATGCTGTTATGTGATACTATTTATCTTGGATCCATAAACCATAATTTGATAACCTACCTCTTTTTCATTAGTTTTGGTAACAAGCTTAACACCTAGACTTGTTTTGAATTTTACTGAACATTGGTCCAGTGAATTCCTTGTCTAAAAGTAGAAATTTTAAATTAATGGAAAAGTGTTATTTATTGAAATCGTATTTCCAAAAAAGAAATAGTATTGACATCATTTTTCATATAGTACTTGGTTGACAAAACTATTTTGAAGGACCTATTGATGTCATGGGTTATAATGGATCTTTATTTAAATTTCTTTCCATCTTTTTGGTTTTTCGAGACGGTTTCTCTGTGGCTTTGGAGCCTGTCCTGGAACTCGATCTGTAGAACCAGGCTGGCCTTGAACTCACAGAGATCCGCCTGCCTCTGCCTCCCAAGTGCTGGGATTAAAGGCGTGCGCCACCACCACACAGTGGATCTTTAAATTTCCTTTAAGTCTCCATAACATTTATTTTTTTTTAAAGTCCTTAGATGGAAAAGCCATCAAGGTGGAGCAAGCCACCAAACCATCATTTGAAAGTGGTAGACGAGGACTACCTCCGCCTCCAAGAAGCAGAGGCCCCCCGAGAGGACTTCGAGGAGCAAGAGGAGGAAGTGGAGGAACTAGAGGACCCCCCTCACGTGGAGGGCACATGGGTAATGATTTGATTGGATCTCAGCCTTGCTGCTTTAAGTTAAAATCTTCAGACCCACACCAGGGTCAGCATTCTTTCCAAAAGGCTAAAGCAGTTGTTCTCACCCTTCCTAATGCTGTGACCCTTTAATACAGTTCCTCATGGTGATGGTCTAGACAGTGGTTCTCAACCTTCCTAATGCTGTGACCCTTTAATACAGTTCCTCATGGTGATGGTCTAGACAGTGGTTCTCAACCTTCCTAATGCTGTGACCCTTTAATACAGTTCCTCATGTGGATGGTCTACACAGTGGTTCTCACCCTTCCTAATGCTGTGACCCTTTAATACATTTCCTCATGTGGATGGTCTAGACAGTGGTTTTCACCCTTCCTAATGCTGTGACCCTTTAATACAGTTCCTTGTTATTCCTTATTTCATTGTTACTCCATAATTGTAATTTTGTTACTGTTACGGATAACAATGTAACTATCTGTTATACAAAATATCTGACATATGACCTCATGAAAGAGTTTGACCCCCTAAGATCATGACCCACAGGTTGAGAACTGCTGGGCTAAAGCCTTTGAAATGGAGACTACTCACCCCTTTAAAATTATTGTTCATTTCTTAAAAAGAAAATATGGGAGGCCTAAATTAAATGATCGTGTTAAAACTATGGGCCAAATAGTCTTACCTAAGTAAAAAAAAAAAATGAAGAGCAAGACTGGGATTATTATTTTCCTACTCTACAAGATTGAGTTTTTGAAACAGTGTCCCATGTTAATTCACGCTGGTCCTGAACTCTTGTCATACTTGCTCTTGCTCGATGGAAAACAAACCTAGCCTCCCCAAAGGAGCAGAAAACATAATGGCAATGTTTTCCCTGTAGGCACATAGTTCTTAGGTTTTTTTCCTTGATTATTGTGTTAATGTATTTTCTATTCTAATGTAGATGACGGTGGCTATTCCATGAATTTTACCATGAGTTCTTCGAGGGGACCTCTTCCAGTAAAAAGAGGACCACCACCACGAAGTGGAGGTCCTCCTCCTAAAAGATCAGCTCCTTCAGGACCAGTTCGTAGCAGCAGCGGAATGGGAGGAAGAGGTACTTGTCGCACTCATTTCAATCTGTGCTGGCACCATAACACTATGTGAAGCCAGGCAGGGTGGTGCATGTCCAATCCTAGCACTGGGGAGAATAGGAGGATTGACATGAATTCAAGACCTACACGGGGAGACCCTACTTTTTATTTTTATTTTTTTAAATTATTGGCCAGTGAGATGACTCAGTGGGTAAAGCATTTTGCTATTCAAGTGCAGAACTTGAATCCAGTCCCCCTTCACAAAGCAAAGTGGAAAGAGAACTGAGCCTACAGAGTTATCCTCTGACCTACATTTGCATCATAGCATGTACATGCCCCCACCATACATACTTGGAAGGGTTTTTAATGCTTTATGCTAAAGACTGATTTAGGGATTCCTCCAAGTAATCTTACAGTTATTGAGCACTGAAATTAAGTTACTGGAAAGCTTCCTGTTTCGTTATATGGGACGTTTGATTAAATCCCGGTTTCTTAGCCCCTGTGTAAGTTCACACTTTAGCTTTTTGATGGCTAGATTTTGATGGTTATTTTTTTCCTTAAGCCCCTGTGTCACGTGGAAGAGATAGTTATGGAGGCCCGCCACGAAGGGAGCCCCTTCCCTCTCGCAGAGATGTGTATTTGTCCCCAAGAGATGATGGCTATTCCACTAAAGACAGGTAACCGAATAATGCAGTTTCTTTTATGAAGAAATGTTTTGAAAGAGAGCGCATCAGAGGTATAAACGAAATTCTCTTTCTGCAGCTATTCAAGCAGAGACTATCCAAGTTCTCGAGATACAAGAGATTATGCACCTCCACCAAGAGATTATACTTACCGTGATTATGGTCATTCCAGTTCACGTGATGACTACCCATCAAGAGGCTATAAGTAAGTGCTTTGTGTCTAAGTATTTGCTGTAGAACTTTATGCCTCCAGGGCTTGGCAGATGGCTCAGCTGTTAAGAGAACCTCCCCAAAAAGCTGGCGATCCAACTTCCATTCGTGAAAGCCATGTGAAGGTGGAAGGGAGAGAAGAGACTCCATAAAGTTGTCTTTTGACCTACAGGATCATCATGCATGCACGTCTATCTCATATGCTCACACAATTCTTTTTACACTGGACAGCTAAAAAATGAGATTTGAGACCTTTATTTTTTAAGGTTTTGGAGGGAAATTTTAGAGTATATCACATTTATATTATGAAATTAACATGTAACTTAGGGGAAAATACACATTTTAATTACGAAAGTTGCTTTTTATTTAGTGACAGAGACGGATATGGCCGGGATCGTGACTATTCAGACCATCCCAGTGGAGGTTCCTACAGAGATTCCTATGAGAGTTATGGTAAGATACCAGTTAAGGGTCTTAAATATCACTGGCTTGAGGGTTTAGGTTCATGAGCTGGGTTAATAGGCTGCGTGGTGCTTGCTTTTAAAGGAACCTTTGCTTGCTTTCAAGGGGTAACTTTATCAGCTGGGCTTTTCCTAGTTTTGTGAAGGGCTTTTTGGTTCTTTCCTTGTTTTGTTTTTTGTTTCTTTTCTTTTGAGGCTGTTCGCTTGCTTTGGAGGGGATTTTGCTTGCTTAAATTGGCAGCCTTATGTGTTTTCCCCCAACAGTGAAAATACAATTTACAAATTTTATTAACAAGATCAAATATTTACCATTGCAATATGAAGGAAACTCAACAGTTCAAAATTGCAACTTATCACTGGAAAGTGGCTGAGTGTCTACTATAAAATAACAAGCTGTCTGGAATGTCCTCTTGAAATACACAACGTCTTCAGTCTTTTCAAACAAACATTAAAACCAATCCATTTCCGTATCTCAGCAGATGAGCAATTCCCTCTTATGGCCAGCAATGGTAGAGTTTAAAACTTCCCAGTTGAGAAAGTAAACTTAGAATACAAGAATTCTGTAAATTCAGATTTACTGTTGTATATACACAATTTATAGTGTTGCCATATTACCTGACCGTTGACCCTGCAGGTAACTCACGTAGTGCTCCACCTACACGAGGGCCCCCGCCATCTTATGGTGGAAGCAGTCGCTATGATGATTACAGCAGCTCAGAGGGCTTCCCCCTTCTATGTGAAGGGGGTACCCTCCTCCACGTGATTCCTACAGCAGTTCAAGCCGGGGAGCACCAAGAGGAGGTGGCCGTGGAGGAAGCCGATCTGATAGAGGGGGAGGCAGAAGCAGATACTAGGAACAAACAACTTTTGGACCAAAAATCCCCATTCAAACAAACAAACAAAAATGGAAACTTTCTGTCATAAACTACCCAAGGACTACTAAAAGGAAAAATTGTGTTACCTTCTTAAAATTTCCTGTTCTCCTTAATAATTTTTATGTTCTTGTGAGGGAAAAAGTAAGACATGTTTAATTTTATTTGATATTATGAGTTGCTTTTAACAAGCAAATGTTAAATGTGTAAGCCTTGACTTGTACTAGTGTTGTAATTTTCCAAGTAAAAGTGTCCCTGAAGGCCACTTCCTGATTTTTCCCAGTAAATGAGGAAAGCAATCCTAAGATCTTCCACAAACTTTCAGCCATATAGATGTCCTTTGGTCTCCATTGAGGGATGAATTGCCCTGCCTATGTAGACAAGCTAGCTAGCTATTCGAGAGGGTTGGTTGGGTGTGCTACTCTTAAGATTTCAGGGTGTCTTCCAACTGAGATCTCAATATTCACAGTAAAAAAAAACCCTGAGATCAGATGCCTAGGAGGGTGCTATTTACCCAGAAGCCCAAGAAAGCAAATGGATGCTGGCCATATTTTGCTTTTCTGACATTTCCTTGGGAATCTACAAGAAACCTCCCTTTTCCCCTCCCCTAGTAAGACCATTTAAGTGTGTGTTAAACAACTACAGAATACTAAATAAAAAGTTTGGCCAAAACCAACCATGAAGCTGCAAAACGATGCTTGCTCTTACTGTTTCAAATTTTTGCAACTCTGTAGTGTCTCACTTTTAAAGGAACAGCTTGATTGCAAAGGAGAAAATAGATAAGCAATGAAGTTATCTCCAACTTCCTAAAGGCTTATGACTTCTAAAAAGTGAATCTATCAGCATTCCACATCAGATTTAAAGCACCAAATGCCTGTGAAACAGCAGAGATGGTAAGCAAAGCAAACTAGTTTTTCCGTCTAAGTCGAAATTGAGCACTTACCTTCCTCATAGTACAGTGAAACATACTGTACTTCATGGCAATGGAAATGCCTGCCAGATTAAAAAAAAAACTTTTGGAAAAAAAACCCACAAATGTTCAATAGCGTGTTAGAAGTCCTCCAAATTCAACACTTGGATTTTTTAAAAGCATGTATGACACTTAAAGGCATTAATGCAGCTGTTGTTTATCAATAGCAACCTGGGAATTGGGAGGGGGTGTTTTTTTTTTCTTTTTTACAAATTTTTGATGAAGACCTTTAAACATGCTTCATGTTTTGACTTTTTTTCAAATTAGTCTTTTAGTCAATATAAGAAATGGCTTAGGATTGGGGTCCCCATGTCTGACCCCTATAAGCCATTGCAAACTTGACCTTTAGTTGGATGCCTGACTTGTTTTAGTTCTATGAAACTACACTGTATGGAGAAAAAATGTATTGCAAGTGGTCTTTAAGAAAGCAAAAACCTGAGGCAGCATGACCCAGGTCCAGCCATGAAGTTGAAAAAGATGCTCTTGAATGTAGTAAACTTGAAGACCTCCAACTAAAAACCCCTAGACTGCACTTATTCCTTCAAATGTTTTGTCCGTTCAACTTATGGATTTAACGTGGCAGTGCACCATTGGAAAAGAATGAGAATCCATAAGCCATGCGACTTAACCATTTAAGCCATTCCAGTCCATCCCAAGCCAGTGAACCTTCCACCAATTAAGAGAAGTAGTAGAACATGAAATAAGCATTAAGCTGCAAGTCTGAACTTGCCTGCTCTCTCTGGCAAAAAAGGGGCAGTTATAGGCAAGTGTGAAAGAATGTCTTTTAGAGAAATAACTAGTTTTCATTTATGTAATTTTTGCAGGTTGAACCTAATGGTCCTACTGTCATGGAGTGCTGATTGATTCAGAGCAGATAAAGCTGGCAGTAAGAAAAAACATCAAATGCTCAGGTAAGTGTTGAAAGTAGTGTCCTTCAAAGCTTTAAACCCTGTAGCTTTCTCATTGTGTGGCTATGGGATTGGCAGCTATTTTCTGACCTAATTTGTTTGTAAAATGGGATAATGCTCAACTCTGGACATAAGGATGAAATTGTTTTGTCATAAAAAACCTAGCACATCCATTTCGAGTGAAGGTATATAGATGTGTTTTCATTAAATAGAATACAGGTAGGATGGACTACTAGAGGTTTCTGAAATAGTTACTAACAGCTCTTTGCCTGCAAGAGTTCTTGTGAAATGAGCTACCTAGTTAATAGTTTGCTATGTGAGCATTGTTGTGTGAATTGCATGCACGCTGTCAGTGCCTGCTTATTGTCAATTGACTTCCGAATTTCAGGGGCACCATGTGGCAGAGTGTCTGATTTTAATATCACAAAGCTGATGCCTAGAGTAATTGTAATGAACATGGCTGCATTTGGAAGCTGCCACTTTAGAGCTAGTACTTAAGCTGAGAAGTCCAGTTGTGTGCACTTAAGGAAGAGAGCGAGAGCATGGAAGCGCTTTGCAGTGTAAAAATACTCTGTAACTTGATCACATGCTTCTTTTCCAGAGTTGTTGAAGCAGAGGAATGCTGAGACTAAGCTGCAGCAGTTACATACCCAGTGCTCGACAGAATTGGTTTGGTACAGGCAATAGATTCTTTTTGTCTTCAAGGGAGGGAGGCATCAGTGCTGGTTAAACCTTAATTAGGGAGTAGCGATCATTTAAAATTGACCAAAGGAAGAGAGGGAGATGGAGAAATTGGTAAGTGGAGGTACCTAGCCAAGAAGTTCTCATGGCTCTTTGTGTTGAGGCAAAGTAATGGGGCAACTGTGCAATTTAGAGCTGACGCTCACTGAGTTAGCTGGGACTATATAACTCCATGGTGGAGTGCTTGCCTAAGTTCAATCCCTGGCACCACACACAGACAAAGAACACTCAATCAGAAAGCTGCTTCCATAATAGCCTTCTGCACTGATGTCTGATTTTCAGCAAGTAAACCGTCTGAGGAATTACCTTATGGGGGGGGGGGAAACATTACGTGTCCTATAAAACTTTGAAGGGGAGGAGGAATGCTAGGAAATAAAAGTAAAAACTGAAACATTGTTAGGATGGTGGGAAGCATGCTGGAAACAAGTATAGGTCACCAAGTCAGTGTAGTTCTATAAAGCTACTTGATCTCAGGGCTCAGGCTTCAAAACAAATCAGGATCCAACTCTGGTTTTGCTTTGGAAACTTAAGAGCCAGGAGTGTAAGTGTTGGTGTTCTCACAGGAAGCAGGTTGTTGTAGGGCTAAAGGATTTAACTCAACTTCTGAGATTTTTCTTACAAAGTCATTTAGTACTGTTACATTTAGCATTTATGACTACGGAGAATGATCCAAAACACTTAAGCCCCATTGGTCACATTTATCATCAGATGGTGAGGGTACTGACCAAATTTTAGTAGTTGTGCTTGAATAGCTACCTTAAGCCTTCGGTAGTCTAATAATTCCTTGAGTAGGTGCTTCTGTCAAGAACCTTCAGCTCTCAAGCATTTATTTAGACTTCTTAACGATAGTTTAGCATAGGGAATACTAGAGTAAAAGTAAATGCTGAATTCAAAGGAGTGGGAAGAAATTATTCAGAGACCTTTTTGACAAATAGTAACGTTTACAGACCCAACCGTTCTTAAAAATCTTCAATTAGGAAAACTCTCCTTGATTTCTTCTGGCTAAATACTGGTTGTAAAATGATTTGAATAATACAAAAAGTGGTGTGGTTTATTTGGTTTTGTAGTTGGATAGAGTGTAGGTATTGTAGATCACTTTTTTGGAATGTTTTGTATTGAAACCCAATAAAACTTGAACATGTATCTTTGTGGTGTTGGGTTCTTTTTTTTTTTTTTTTACACTTTTGAAGGTAGAAATTCATATAAAGCTTTTTATCGTTTTTTTTCTTAACTTTTCTCCCCCAAACTTCAGTTCTAGGGTGCTGCTGATACTTCTGTAAGGGACTATCCATAGTCCCTGAGGTGGTCTGGCCACTGGCCTTCCTTTGTTGTGATGAGTTAATCTTATATAAACATGTTCATTCAGATAATTAATCCTTAACCTAAAAATGAAATGAGAGCTATCACACCTAGGAAACGCTCATTTACCAGAAATTTCCGTTATTGCTTCTACCTTGCTGTCCTGCATATCTTGAAGGGTAGGGACAAAGGTGGGGGATGGGTTAGGAAGAAGTAGTTTCTGGTAGTGAGTTTCAGTACTTTAGCTCAGCGACATTCAGTGGTGTTAATAGAATAGCCCATAATGATATGCTTCTCTGTGGGAGGTTTCTAGCTTAACTTTCTGTGATGTACACATTTAAGGGTGGCAGAATGCTGACTTCACAAAACTTAATTGGCAAAGGTAGTTAATAACCTTTGTCAGACTATGGGGACCTGAGCTCCATCCTCAGAAACAAAGTGAATAGCCTTGAATGGAGGTTTATGTGTAATTCCAATGCTCAGGAGATGGAGATAGAAGGATCCTTGGGGCTCGCTGGCCAGGCAATCTAGTCTGTTTTGTGGGCCTCCAACCTGTAGTTTTAGGTTTTTTGTTAGGGGGGATTTTCTATAGTGTAAGATAGGAAATTTAAATTTTTCAAATATAGATAACAATTTGTTCCAGTGTCTTCTTGAAAAGACAATCCTACTTTTTTACATTCCTTCAAAGTTCTTTCCCTGCCCTTTTTTTTTTTTAAGATTTATTTAATATGTATACAGTGTTCTGTCTCCATGTATGCCTGTAGGCCAGAAGAGGGCACCAGATCTCATTACAGATGGCTGTGAGCCACTCTGGTTTCTGGGAATTGAACTCAGAACCTCTGGACAAACAGCCAGTGCTCTTAACCTCTGAGACATCTCTCCAGCCCTCCCTACTTTTAAAATTTGCCTGCATATCAGTGCTCATGGAGGCCACAGGCATCAGAACCACCCCCCAACTGCAGTTAAATCCAAACTCAGGTCCTCTGCAAGACAAGCTCTTAACCATTGAGCCATCCCTCCAGTCCCTTCTTTGCACTCCTGAAATGAGTGGGTTTTATGCTTGTGTCTGTTAGAAGATGACATTTTAGTCTATGTGCACTGGCACAGGCCTTTAATCCCAGAACTCCAGCCGCAGAGGCAGGTAGATCTGAGTTTAAGGTCAGCCAGGCCTACACAGTGAAACTGTGTCCCAAAGAAAAGTAAATAGGAGATTAATGTATGCTCTGAAGGATGTTTGACATTGAGAATTTGTTGGAGAACCCCTGATAGCAGTTTATTTGTTAATTGGCATAGAAAGTAACAGGGTTCATTGTGGCATCACTGCGCATACTTTGTGTTGATTCTCTCTTCTATCCCTGCGGATGCCATCTTGCTATTCCCTGTCTATTATCCCCCACTTAAGATCTATTTCCCCTCACTCTCCTTTCTTCTTGGACCACACCCCCTTTCCCACTCATGTGAATAGTATACACCTATATTCAAAACCTACACTCGGCCTGCCTAACATGTACAAAATCCCTAGCACCATATAAACCAGGCATGGTGATGTATGCAGGGAGTTTAAGGCCAACCTGGGCTACATGAGACGTGAGGTCAAAAAAGCTGTAGAGATGACTCATCAGGTAAAGGTACTTTTGCCATCAAGCCTGGCGACCTAAGTTTGGTCCTCAGGATCCATATGGTGAGCGAGCATGGACTCCTGCAAGTTCCCTATATAGCAAATGTGCATCATGGCACTTGTATACCCCAGGCCTCAAATAAAAAAATACATTTTAATGAATCATACAAATAATGGTCTTAACCATAGGAAGTATGTCTTAATGTGTTTTACAAATCTGGGATCTGTACCTGAGAGAATCTTCCCCTCTTGAGTTTATCAGAGTCCCTAAGGAAGACTCCAGCAGATCCTTGCCTTGAAGGATATAACTAATACCTGAGGGTGTAAAATTGGTTTTTTTTCTGGCCGGGGTGTTGGTGGCGCACATCTTTAATTCCAGCACTCAGGAGGCAGAGGCAGGCAGATCTCTGTGAGTTCGAGGCCAGCCTGGTCTACAGAGCGAGTTCCAGGATAGCCTCCAAAGCAATACAGAGAAACCCTGTCTCAAAAAAGGGGGGTTTTCCATGTGACTACCCATGTAACATGCTCCATGATTCAATACTGCTGTGATTCCACATTTCTGTTTGCTGTCTTACAGTGGTGTTGAAGTAGGGAATTGTAGGGAATTGTCTTCCTGACACCAAGTTGGGGACAGGACCTTATACGCAAAATTTCTTCCCCAACCTTCTATATCCATGGTGGCATTCGTTGTAGGACACCCCTCTCCACCCCAGAGTCTCCATGAGCTGCCTCTAGGCATTTCTTAGTGAGTTTGAACTCTCGCTTCAGCCTCCCGGGAAGTTAACTCTTGTTAATTTCTCACCTGTAAAGAGGGTTGGCAATCTGTTTCCCACAGATGGAAATATGATTGAGTTCCTGTGCTTGCCTCATAGTAAATATTACATAATTGTGGTTTTTTTCTTGCTTTCTGTTTTTTTCTTCTTTTTGGAGACAGGATTTTCCTGTGTAGCCCTGACTGTCCTAGAACTTGCTCTGTAGTCCAGGCTGTCTTTGAACTCGGATCTGCCTTGCCTCTTCCTCCTCAGTGCTTGGATTAAAGGCATTCACACCATCACCCAGCAAAATTATTAAATATTATCTTCCATCAATTTCCCTCTTTATTCAGGACTGAGTTTTGGGGGAAGGATCCAGTACCTTATGTCAGACTTTCCGTTAGTCAGGGACTGAAGGTTCCTACAAGCTGAGTTTTGTATGTTACAATTAGTTCACATAGGGTTCTCATTCTCTTCACTTTCCTCCATTCACAATCCCCCATTGGCAACTATTTTAATACAATGTATGTCCTTTCGTGTAAGATCTTTTTTTTTTTTTTTTTTTTTAGTTTTTCGAGACAGAGTTTGTCTATGTAGCTTTGGAGCCTATCCTGGCACTGGCTCTTGTAGACCAGGCTGGCCTCGAACTCAAAGAGATCCGCCTGCCTCTGCCTCCCAAGTGCTGGGATTAAAGGCGTGCTCCACCGACACCCAGGTTTTGTGTAAGATCTTATTAAATATTTCTTGGTTTGCTTTTTATTCTTTTTGAGACAGATATGTAGAGTCTAGAGTCTAGAGTCCTAGAGATGCTCCTGCCTCTGCCTGCTGGCATTAAAGATGTGTGCTACCATGCCAGGCCCAGCCCTCAGACTGACCCTTTTGAGACAAGATCTCCCATAACACATACTAACCTTGAACTGCTGATTTCTCTCCCTTCTAATGTGCTACTATTATGCTACCACACCCAGTTTATAAAGTGCTAGGAATAGAACTCAGGCCTTTCTTCATGGCTAGGTGAGCACTCTACCAAGTTGTATCCCCCTAGTCCTATGTTATTTCCCATGCGTGTTTGACATTATATCAATGTATAGTGTTGTGTATATCTCTTGCCTTATGAACTGTTTGTCACCAGTACTTTAAAGATTTATCCAGAGGGCAAATATGAATCTAGTCCATTGCTTCTAGTTAAAGCACAGTGTTTATTACATACTGACACTCCAACAGATTTTGCCTGCACATGCTTCCCAGCTTGATTCATAAGCCCTTAGGTTGTGTGTCTGTGCCTGCTCAGATCATGCTGTCATTTGACCCTGGCTGTAAGCCTAGTATTAGTTAGATATGGTTTTGGTGAATGTAGAGGAAGATGGTATATTTCAAAGAATCATCCCAGCCAAGTTGTCTGTCTTTTGAAGATTTTATTTATTGTGTATACAACATTCTGCTTCATGTATATCTGCACACCAGAAGAGGGCACCAGATCTCCTAACAGATGGTTGTGAGCCACCAGGTGGTTGCTGGGAATTGAACTCAGGTCCTCTGGAAGAGCAGTCGGTGCTCTTAACCTCTGAGCCATCTCTCCAGCCCGTTGTCTGTCTTTTTTAAGTAGAGGAAGTCTTAATTCTGCAGACAGTAGGACAAGCTGCTTCAGTTTCAGCAGGGACGGGTTCAAGTGTGGATGCCG